GCGAACTGTGGTCGACTACGTGGGAGTCCAGCGACATAGCCGTTACGTTAACTGCTGGTCCCTGGTGTAGTTTCCATTTTATACTTTATTTTATGAGGAAAATGCTTTTTGTTTGTGTTATTTTTTTCTGATAGAATGAAAATAAAGGCTGCATATTTAAAGCCTCGAATAATATATTTAGTATGATACTAGCTTTTGTGGTTTATTAAAGAGAACGTCTACTGAAGACAACTGCACCTGAGTTAAATGATTGGAGAACAATAAGAAAGACATTTAGTAGAACTAAGGAAACATTCATTTATTTGATGGAAGATTAGAAGCAAAGGTAACCAAGCAGGAAGCACTTCTTCATCTTTGTATCCCCAGAGTGATTTGCACTTCGTAGTTGAACAGAATTGTTCTTCATGACAGTACCATTGCTTAGAATTGTACAATATTTATACATTCTGAAAATATTTTTTTCTCATTTTTTTAGGGCTTAGGTTTTACAGCTTCTTTGGTCAAGAAGGATCGGTCAGCAAGTCACCTAGACCATAAACGAGAAATAAGACAGTAAGTACTTTGGATTATCAGTGAAAAAATAGATTTTAACTCTTCATTACAAATTTAACATCCTGGGGCTGGCAGGTGGCTTGGTGGTTAAGGGTGCTGGACTCCCATGTGGCTGACTACGGTTCAAGTCCCCAACCTGGCAGCTTGCGCTCTCTCTCTCTCTCTGTCCCTCTCTGGTCAAATTGAAATAAATGAATGAATAAATAAAGTTAAATAAAAATAATTAAGAAAAAAAACAAATTTAACATCCTGTTGGCATGTCAGTTTTTATGACATCATCCTTATACTGGGCTGGAGTGGTTACAACTTGTATTTCTGTATAGTACATAGGATCTTTAACCCATTAACTATCTTTTTTTTTTATTTTAATTTTTTTAGTTTTGCTATAAGGGTGTGTAAGCTTGCTGTAGAAAGAGAGAGAGAGAGAGAGAGAGGGAGAGGGAGAAATCATCTCCTGGGGGGCGACCATGCCATAATCTCTTCTCCATTTTCCTCTCAGGAGTATGGGTATATACCCACACATGCCCATTGTGTTTGTTTTTGTTTTTTTGGAGAGGTTTTCACTATAGGGCGCGTGCGCTCACCAGACAGACAGAGAGACAGAAAGCAAGAAATCACCCCCCAGGGGGGATGGCCACGCCGCAATCCCTTCTCCTCCATTCTCCTCTCGGATCTTGGGCACGCACGCACATGCGCCCGGCGTGAGTTTTTTAAGCCATTGGGTCCGGGACGCGAACCGCGGTCGACTATGTGGGAGTCCAGCGACATAGCCATTACACTAACTACTGGTTCCCAATACCCATTGTGTTTTACAAGCTACCAGATCTGGAACTCAAACCTCATATGTGGGATTAAACCTCCATGTAATCTGCTGGCCTCTATTAGCTATCTTATTAAAATGATTTTTCTTTTTTCTATATAAGATGGAGACGGTCCTTCCTTGTGAGCTTGTTTTTCTGTATTCCTGTAATGGGGCTAATGATATATATGATGGTTATGGACCACCACCGTGCAACTCTTCACCATAATCAGAGCATGAGTATGGAAGAAATGATCAACGTTCATTCTTCTATGTTCCTGGAGCGCCCGATCCTGCCAGGATTGTCCATTATGAATTTGCTGTCTTTTTTATTGTGTATACCTGTACAGGCAAGTGAAATGTTCGCAAATGTATTTGATAATAATGAGAAATATCCAAAATGTGGTAAGCAAGGCTATTTTCAACTACAAACAGATATTAGCTAGAAGTTTGATAATTTTATGCTGGATCCTTTGTAAGAATAATCTTAAATTGAGTAATTAGTTCCATTTAACCCTAAGACTATTATTAATGACAGAGTAGAGAACAGGAGTTCAAGTTTTTTGGATTTGGTATTCATATCTGCTACTGTATATAATGTTACATTTGTTATTTCTCATTGTCACTTCAGTTACTTTCTGTATATTTTCAACTCAACTTTTTTTTTAAGAGACATTTTTGCTATAGGGCGCATGTGCTCAGGAGAGACAGAAAGCAAGAAATCACCTCACTCCACCCCCCCACCACACAGGGGGATGCCCACACCACAATCCTTTCTCCTCCCTTCTCCTCTCAGGATTTTGGGTGCACTCACATGTATCTGGCATGAGTTTTAAGCCACCAGGTCTGGGACTCAAACTGTGATCGAGTACGTGGGAGACCAGTGACATAACCATTATACCATTTGCTGGTCTTTCAACTCTTTTTTAAAAATAAACCTTTACTGTGGGATGGCACACTTCCATCTAATAAATCTCTTCCTTTATCTGATCTTGATTGAAGGCAATAGTTTTTAAAACATCTTAGTGTGTTTTTCTATACTAATGAACAAACTATCCAGTTAAGTTTACCAACAAAAACAGCAGCAGGTATGATAGCTTTTGATATTACTTACGTTGAGTTTTGGAAAGGTGGGTGAGTTTTATTAAAAAATAAAAAAATCCTTGACCAAAAATGTAATTCTTTTCCTGGTTCTTACTTTTCCTAGCCTCAAAAATAAAATCCAAGAACAATTTGACTTTCTTTATATCATGAAGTATCCACTGGATTATAGAAAACAGCCCACGAAGGCTTGCACAGCAATTTGAATGCACATACATCTGCTAAAATACAAAAACTATTCTTTCAGCTTAAAAATCTCCCCTTAGTGTGTATGGATTAGCTAAAGGTCAAAAGAAGTGAACATTGATATTTTATCTGAAATTTTTGAGGTATATATGTAAATTTCAGCATTTAAAAAAATTCAACTGATTATTATTTCTATAATTGCAGTTTATCGGAGGCTGGTACTTCTACATTCAGGCTTACAAAGCACTGAAGCATAAGACGGCAAATATGGATGTACTGATTGTGTTGGCAACCACCATTGCATTTGCCTACTCTTTGGTTATTCTTCTAGTTGCAATGTATGAGAGAGCAAGAGTGAACCCTGTTACTTTCTTTGACACACCTCCTATGCTCTTTGTGTTTATTGCACTAGGCCGATGGCTGGAACATATAGCTAAGGTAAAGGAAGAAATGGTGACATTTGTTAAAATATTGGGTGAATAAATGACCATGGTATTTTCTAAACCAGTTATTAGAAATATATGTTTATTTATGTAGTTAATCATTTACTGCAAGAAATTTTTTTTGTTTTGGCCTTCTTTTTCCTTTATGAAAGAGGCGGAAAGAGAAAGTAAGAAAAGGAGAGAGAAAGGGGGATAGGAATTTTTGACAGGCTCTCACTCTGTTGTGATCCTGCCCCAGTCTCCCTTTTAGCTAGGATTACAGGCATGTGCAGCTGTGTCTGGTGCATTCAGGCTGGGTCTTCCATATGGCCTCCAGCATTCCCTCACCTTAGGTGGGCTTGTTTTAGCAATATTTTAACTTAAATATTCCCTTAGAAGATTTACCAAAGTTATGGAATACTCTATAAATAGTACAGTGTGTCCATCTTTATTTTAAAGGAGAAAGAGACATTTGAAAAGTACTTATTTATTTATATCACATTATTAATGGAAAAACTGACATGATACACAGTTTAAAATAATGATTAGGGAACCAGCAGTTAGCGTAATGGCTATGTCGCTGGACTCCCACGTAGTCGACTGTGGTTTGCGTCCCGGACCCGGTGGCTTAAAACTCACGTCGGGCGCGTGTGCATGCATGCCCAAGATCCCTAGGGGAGAATGGAGGAGAAGGGATTGCGGCGTGACCATCCCCCCTGGGGGGTGATTTCTTGCTTTCTGTCTCTCTGTCTCTTTCTGTCTGTCTGGTGAGCGCACGCGCCCTATAGCAAAAACCTCTCCAAAGAAAAAAAAACATAAAATAAAATAAAATAATGATTGGAAAAAATATATTTTTTAAGAATTATTTTATTTTATTTATTCATTCATTTAGTTTTTAATTTGACCAGAGGGAGACAGAGAGAGAGAGAGAGAAAGAGAGAGATAGAGAAAGTGAGAAAGCAAGCCACCAGTTCCAGAACTTGAACCGTGATCAGCCATGTGGGAGTGTCCAGCACCTTAACCACCACACCACCTGCTAGTTCCCCATGATTAGAAAATATTCACCCATAGTACCATTATATATTGTAAATCACTTTCTAATCTTGTTCTACATCCCTTTATGTTTAACAGAGTTGCAAACATAGTGTACATACAACTTTGTACCCATAGCACTGTAAAGTTTTTCCTTTATTTTTCATTTTATTTTATTTTATTTTTTTCTTTTCTTTATTTTTACAGTGTAGATAATTTTTTGATATTTATGAATAATAATAGTTTGTTGAGTCAATGTGCCGTAATTTACTAAACCATACTGGGTTTGTTTGCAATTTTTAATAGATTGCTTCCAATTTTTAATTTTTAGATAATCTTACATTTAACATATTCATTTCTAATAGCCATTTCCATTGAACTAGTGTCCTAGGAAAAATTACAAAGGATGGGATTAATGGATTGTAGGAAGTATATCTTTTTTTTTTTTTTTGGGGAGGTGAGAGGTTTTCGCTATAGGGCGCATGTGTTCACCAGACAGAGAGAGACAGAGAGATAGAAAGCGAGAAATCACCCCCCAGGGGGGATGGCCACATCGCAATCCCTTCTCCTCCATTCTCCTCTTGGGATCTTGGGCATGTGTGCACACGCGCCCGGCATGAGTTTTAAGCCACCGAGTCAGGACTCAAACCGTGGTCAACTATGTGGGAGTCCAGCGACATAGCCATTACGCTAACTGCTGGGCCCAGGATGTATATCTTTTAGAGCTTATGCTATAAGTTGTAACAATTTTTTATCCGCAGGGGTATGTCAGTGAGATTACTACATCTTTATCAGCATTGCATCTTATGTAAATTCTTACTAAATTAATAGGAATTAAATGGTAAAACAGCATGGCTTTAGTCTGCATTTCTTCCATTAGCAGCTGTAATGATATATAGTGATCGAATGTTTTTTTAAAAACATAAAAAGCAAAAAAGCCCACAGAAAAAACCCCATGAAACTATAACAGTGCATCTGCTTAGATAAATTGCTTTTCTTTTTTTTATTTTGGGTCATTTTTATTTCAGTCAATTTACTAATTTTCAATTTAATGTCATAAAACTGACAAAAAATAAAATTATTTTTTCTTTTGATTTGTTATTATTGTCTTATACATTCAATCGCTATACATCATTTAGCTTGTAAAGAGAATTTACCCAACATGAAAAACATCTCAGACTGGTCCAGTTGAGAATATTATATACACATTATCAACAGGTAATAAACCATTGCTATGTCCCACAAATGTCTCAACTCTCTGTTTTTCTCCCTAATTTCCTTCTCTCCACTTTTCCCCTCTCTTACCCTCCTTCTACACTGTCTCCTGTGTCCATAACTGTTTCAATGGTTTTATGTCCTCCAGTCTTTCAGTCTCTACCATAGAGTTCAGTCAGTATATTTTAAGTGGAGACATACAATGTCTCTCTTTCATAGCCTGATTTGCTTCACTCAGCAATAAATCTTCCATATTCATCCACTTTCTATCAAATGCCAGGGTCTTGTTTTTTTTTATAGCTGAATAGTATTCTATGGAGTATATCATTAAAAAATAAAATTTAAATCTCAAAATAGCAAAGATAAATATTTTTTCATATATCAGGTATTTATATTTTCTCTTGAATTATTTGCCTGTTTATATCCTTTGCACATGTATCTACTGTGTTCTCAGTGTTTTTTTTAATTTACATTATTTCTTCATAAATTTTATCTAGTAATAGTTTTTTTATATTTTATGTACTTCATGTTCTTGATGAAAGCTTTTTTCAAGTATTTAAAATTTTATTAAGTTTATTCTTTCTTTTTTGAGTGAGACAGAGATAATGAGAGGTAGAGAGGGAGAGAAGGAAAGTGAGAAATCATCCCCTCCAAGGACTGATGGCCATACTGCAATCCCTTCTCTTCTATTTTCCTGTTGGGATTTTGGGCATGCACACACACTCACCCAGTGTGTTTTCAAGTCGCCAGGTCCAAAACTTGAACTGCACAATCAGCCATATAGGATCCGGCAGCCTTAACCAACATGCCACTGGCTGGCCCAACAGGATCTTCATGCCATGAGCTACCCCCAACCTCAGCCAGCCCCAGATCATGGGCATGTGCATGCCCAGTATATACAGTTTCCAGATGTGAACCAAGAGCCTTCTGATGAGGATCAGGCTTGAGAGCATTGTGGGGTTTTTGTTTTTGTTTTTTAGTTTTTTTGTTATAGGGCATGTGCACTTGCCTGAGAGAGGGAGAGATAAAGAAAATGAGAAATCACACCCCAGGGGGGATGGCCATGCTGCAATCTCTTCTCCATTCTCCTCTTGGGATTTTGGATACACCTGTACACACACCTGGCATGATTTTCAAGCTGCCAGGTCTGACACTCTAACCATGAAGCTGGCTGTGTAGAATCCAGCCACCTTAATCCTCCACACCACCTACTGGCCTGAGCATTGTGTTTTACTGCTGTGCCAACTTCCAGCCCCTAAGTTTTATTTTAATTAACAGAAATAATTGTATTTATTTGTGGGGCACCAGGTGGATGTTTTGAAACATGTACACATTGTGGAATGGTCAAATCAGACTAATTTAGCATATCCATCGCCTTAGATATTTATCATTTCTTTGTGGTGAGAATATATAAAATCTTCTCTTTTAGCTATTTTGAATTATATTTTATTATTAACTATAGACTCCATGATATACAATAAAACACTGGAACTTACTTATAACTTCATATTAATATCCCTACAGCTATCTTTTGGGTAAATGTTAAAGATTATTTATTTTAGTTAAAACTTGAACTTTTTCTTTCTTAGCATTTTCAGTGTGTTTGTTTTAATTTATAGGGCAAAACATCAGAGGCTCTTGCAAAGCTGATTTCACTACAAGCTACAGAAGCAACGATTGTAACTCTTGACTCTGATAATATCCTCATAAGGTAGTTAATCTTCATTCTTCTCCATTCTCTCTTTTTTTTTAACTTCTCATGAAAAATTTCAAATGTACACTGGAATGAAGCTTCATAAACCCACATTCTAGCTCTAAGATTTAACTGTTATCCATGTTTTGCCACACTTTATTTCATCCGTCCTATTTATCTTTCTTCTGTTGTTGCAATAGTATTTTTAAAAATTTCTTTATAAATCACCCAATTGTAATTGTACATGTTTTTGGTACAGTAGTATTTTAAAGTAAATCCCAGTCATCATTTTACTGCTAAATATTTTTAGTATCTCTTTAAAAAAGGACATATGCTTACATAACTATAATACCATACTGTACCTAACAAAATGAAGAGTAATTCCTTAATGTGATCTAATATCCATATGCATATTTCTCCTGTTTCCAAAATATTTTAAAGCCCTTTGTCCAAAAAAGAATTCAAACAAGTTCCATGCATCATTGTATTTAAACTGTCATGTGTCTTAGGTTATTGTTGTTGTGTTGTTTAATCTAGAATAGCTCCTTCGTCGTTTTCTCTCTCCTTCCCTCTCCCTCTGTCAATACAGTTCACTTGAAGAAACGTCCATCCATCTGTTGTTCTGTAAAATATCCCATAATCTGAATTTGTCTCTTTGTTTTCTTGTGATATCAGATAACTTGTTTTCCAACTCCTGTGCTACTTATAAGTTAAGATAAAGGCCTAATTAGATTTTATTCTTTTGTATTTCTCATTTCTTAGAGAGATTTTTACTATAGGGTGCATGCGCTCACTGGAGAGACAGAGATATATAGAGAGACAGAAAGTGAGAAATCACCCCTGGGGGGGAATGGCCATGCAGCAATCCCTTTTATTCCATTCTCCTCTTGGGATTATGGGCATGCACACATATGTGCCTAGAGTGAGTTTTAAGCCACTGGGTCTGGGACTTGAACTGTGGTCGACTATGTGGGATTCCAGTGACGTAACCATTACACCATCTGCTGGTCTCCCCTCCCCCCCCTTTTTGGGAGGCGGCATGCACGTGCACATCACATACCCAACATAAGTTTTTTGTTTTTTGTTTTTTGTTTTTTTTTTAGCTGCCAGGTCCAGGACTTGAACCATGGTCGATCATGTGGGAGTCCAGCAATGTAACCATTACACCGTCTGCTGGTCCCTGTATTTCTCATTTTTATACTCCTAAAATTGTTGAAGCAAATTTATATAATAAATAGTTTAGTTAAATAAAACCTATTACATTATTTTTAAAACTTTTTTTTTGTGCAGTCATTATTCAATCAAATATTTAGAGTTCCACTTAAGTGCTGGCTACTGAGTTTGCTGTTCACCAATAGGGAACAAGACTGACATAGCAGTTACTAGCTTACATGTTGACTCTAGCTAGCTCCCATTGGTAGTATTTATGGAGCTAAAAGCTTGACATGAACTGAAAAACTTGCATGGAGGGGTCAGGGTAAGAACCATCATCATGGTGCTTTTTATTTTACTCATGTCTAGTGAAGAACAAGTGGATGTAGAACTTGTACAACGGGGAGACATTATTAAAGTGGTTCCAGGAGGCAAATTTCCAGTGGATGGTCGTGTTATTGAAGGACATTTTATGGTAGATGAATCGCTCATCACAGGTATGTTCTTTCAGAGAACTATGACATAAAAAGCAAAGTGAATCCAAAGTGGTAATGAAAAATAGGTATGAAAGGTTAAGAGCTTTTTGAAGAAACTATGAATTAGTAAATTATGAGCAAAAATAAATATGAGTTATTTTTAAGACTATTAATTCAAATCCCTCAGATTAACTGTGGTTTTAGTTATGTTTTTGAAGGCTTTTTCTATTGAAGATTGTGAAATAGTGGAATGCATAACCAAAGGAAGTTGTCTCAGTCTCCTATAGAGCCTCACAGACTTTGGCAAATTTTCCTGGGTAATACCACTTCTGTACTCTTGCCCTAAAGACTGACTTTATCTAAGCTAGTATAGGAATCCAGGTTTTCCACATCAAGGTCTGCTGTTAAGAGAATAGACCTGGAGGGAACCAGCAGTTAGCGTAATGGCTATGTCGCTGGACTTCCATGTAGTCAACCGTGGTTTGCGTCCTGGACCCGGTGGCTTAAAACTCACGCCGGGCGCGTGTGCGTGCGTGCCCAAGATCCCGAGAGGAGAATGGAGGAGGAGGGATTGCGGCATGACCATCCCCCCCTGGGGGGTGACTTCTCGCTTTCTGTCTCTATGTCTCTCTCTGTCTGACGAGCGCACGCGCCCTATAGCAAAAACCTCTCCAAAAAAAAAAAAAAAAAAAAACAATAGACCTGGAGTAGTTTTAGAGATCTTAAGTAAGTAAAGCCAATTTGGAGCAGAACAAAATAACAACTTTTCTCAACTCACAGGATTGTACCAGAAGAGGCACTCAGCTTACGGAACATTTGGAAGTAATTTAGGAGTCTGTGTTTCTCACTAGGGGTGCTGTTGCCATTTTGGATGGGACAATTCTTAGTTTCGGGGGACTGTCTTACACACTGCAGAACAATTTAGTGTCCCTGACCCTGGACCACAAAATTATAGTAGCAGCACCCCTTTTTCCTCCCCCCAAGTTGTCATTACAAACAAAAACTTTCTCCCATATTTATGGATGCTCCTTGAGAACAGGTTAAAAACTCATAATTTAGGACTAGAGTGAAGCTCAAAAAGTTTCTGCCAATAACAGTCAGCATGTTAGGTTTTTCCAGTTTAAGGTATGTATCCTTGACCTAGAAGGACATAAAAAGTCCTAGAAATGACATTAAGAAAAAGAGAGGGCAACTTTCACCTAGGAATTTGTCCAGATTCTATTTCATGAAATAATAATCTACTTTCTAGATATTGGGTTGTCAGAAAAGTCATGACACATTTTTACATAGAAAAACATAGGAAAAAGAAAATGTCATGACTTTTCCAACAACCCAGTATTTTTGTTCAATTAACAAATGATGGTATATTTCAAGATGGTAAACATTTATGCTCCCTAAATCTATCTTACTCTTCTTCATACAGGGGAGGCAATGCCTGTGGCTAAGAAACCAGGCAGCACCGTGATTGCTGGTTCCATTAACCAGAATGGGTCACTACTTATTCGCGCAACTCATGTCGGAGCAGACACAACCCTTTCTCAAATTGTCAAACTTGTAGAGGAGGCACAAACATCAAAGGTAACTTAACCTAACCTAAGAGAAACAATTTTTTTAAAAGCTTTGTAAGTGGGAGCCAGCAGGTATCATAGTGGTTAGGGCACTTGACTTATACATGGCCAACCATGGTTCAAGTCCCAGTACTGGTGGCTTGCTTTCTCACTTTCCTTCTCTCTGATAACTATAGTAAGATAAAAAATATTAATTATGATAAATAAAATAAATAATTCTAAAAAGCTTTAGATGTATGAATCTCGATCTAGTTTTTATAATTTTCTTTCATTAATTTTAGTTGTGTTAATATGGAATTTATTAAAATATTTGTGCTAGCTACTAAATATATTCTTTATTCAATATCAGAAAAGGAGACTTAGATATACCTTTTGTTCTTATTTTAATTCTAGGCTCCCATCCAGCAGTTTGCAGACAAACTCAGTGGCTATTTTGTTCCTTTTATCGTTTTCGTTTCTGTTGCTACCCTTGTGGTGTGGATTATAATTGGATTTCTGAATTTTGAAATTGTGGAAACCTACTTTCCTGTAAGTGACTGTAACAACTCTATGCAAAACAGCTTCTGAATCTTTTATATAAACAATTAAGTGGAAATAACTTAAAAAAAAACAGTTTCTTTAAGGGGCTGTAATGGGAGGGTAATAAGAATAACATCCATTTCTGAAAATATAAGATTTCCTTTTGGGAAAAAAAATTATTATGACTAAAAACGAATACTGAATTTTTATACTTTGCACATAGTCTTATTTCTAGCATGATTTTACTTTCACAAAGGACTATAGATTTGTTGAGGAGAACCTCAAGGTTTCAGCTATCTTTACCCTCAGTATGATCTTAGATCACTTAATTGCTCTCTGACCTTCAGTTTCCATCTATAAAATGAGGTATTACTAATATCCATTCTGCATAACTTGTAGCTGTGGTGAAGGTTAAACAAGGTAATATATACTTCATAATTTACTAAATGCTTTATAAACATAATATGAGTACCTTCTCATTAAGTTCTCTGATGGTCTCTAAAGTATATTTTAAAGTGGTAAAGTAGACTTGGACTATGCCTCAAATTAGTCTATGACCTTAACTTCTCTTAGATTCAGTTTTCTCATATGTTAAATGGAGATGATAATACCTCAGATTGGAATTAATATAGGTGAAAGCATACAACATATGTGAAAACATACACACATGACATATGAAAGCAGAAACCTAGATATCTATGGAATTCCTTTCCAATTATGTTTTTATATAGATTTATCTCTTACATATTAGAGAACTTGAGAAGAACATAGCACTGTAAAACCATTACTGCTAAGAAAATCTACTTTGTTATATTTCTTTATTTACAAGAAATGCCATGCTGTACACTGTTTCATACTGTTCCTTCAGTTAAAGAACAAGTAGAATCATGGGGCCAGCAGGTGGTGCAGTGGTTAAGGCACTGGACTCCCACGTGGCCGACTGAGGTTTGAGTCCTGGACCTGGCGGCTTATTTTCTCTCTTTTCCTCTCTCTCTGTCTCTGGTCAGATTAAAAAATATAATTAATAAAATAAAATAAATAATTTTAAAAAAGATTCTTAAAAAGAACAAGTACAATCATAACAACTATGTATCTATTCCATATTATGATCACTTAAAAGTTTATTTAAATGATTCATGCCAGTTAAGCAAACATTTAACAAGATGATTGTTGAGAAGGGTTTAAGATATTCTCAACAATCATCTTGTTAAATATATCTATCTTTTTTTTTTGAGATATTTTTGCTGTAAGATATGTGCACTCACCAGAGAGACAGACCTTAAGTGAGAAATCACCTCCCAGGGGGGATGGCCACATCGCAGTCCCTTTTCTTCCAATCTCCTCTTGGGATTTTGGGCATGCACACACATGTGCCCAGCGTGAGTTTTAAGCCACTGGGTCCGGGACTTGAATTGCAGTCGACTATGTGGGAGTCCAGCAACGTAACCATTACGCCATCTGCTGGTAGATTATATATCTTTCAAGAATTTGTCTCCTGATGAGACCAGCAGTTAGCATAATGGCTGTGTCGCTGGATTCCCATGTAGTTGACCGTGACTCGAGTCCTGGACCCAGTGGCTTAAACTCACACTGGGCGTGTGTGTGTGTGTGTGTGCCCAAGATCCCAAGAAGAGAATGGAGGAGAAGGGATTGCAGCGTGGCCATCCCCCCTGGGGGGGTGATTTCTCGCTTTCTGTCTCTCTGTCTTTCTCTGTCTTTCTGGTTAGCGCATGTGCCCTATAGCAAAAACCTCTCCAAAAAAAGAAAAACAGAATTTGTCTTCTGAGTTTAGGGAGTCTTAGATTTCCCCTAAAGCCGTTATTTGTAACTTCTCACACAAACTCAATGATACTAAGTGTTTAGCTACAATAGCAGGTATATTTGGCTCGTATCGCTATGTACAAAAGGATTTTGTTGGAAATAATTAAGCTCCTTTTGCATCCTGGGCAGTTTTATTCTCTTCTTTAAAGAGAATACTATGAAAGACAGATTTGTCACCTTAGAATACAGGAATTCAGAATTTTATTTGTTCAGTATCAAAATTTTTGGACATTATGTTTCATGTTAGCAACTATTCCTTAAAGTCCCTAATAAAAACACTTGTTCTCAATATGGGGCAAAAAAAAAAGGAAAAAATGAGGTTTTATTTGTTTCATAATTTGTAACTCTGGAGTCATCTAAAATGAAATCTTGATTTTCTGCTATCACTTATTTATCGCTATGTCAAAATTTCTTATGTTCATAAAAGAAAAAAGTATTTTCTTACTACAGATTGAACATCTTCACTGTGAAAATATGAAATCTGAAATGCTTCAAAATCCAAAACTTTTTGAGCACCAACATGATACCACAAATGGAAAATTTCATATCTGACCTCATGTAATAGGTTGCAGCCAAAACAATGTAATACAATAATATTGAGTAAAATTACTTTCAGGCTATGTGTGCAAGGTGTATATGAAACTTAAGTGAATTTTATATTTATCGTTGGATCCCATCCCCAAGATATCTCATTATATATTTGTGTATTGGGGTTGTCAGAAAAGTCATGACATATTTTTCTGTTTTTCTATACAAAAATATGCCATGACTTTTCTGACGATAATAAATATTTCAAAATCTGGGGGGAAAAAGTAAAAAATTTGAAACAGTTTTGGTTCCAAGCATTTTGGATAAAGGATACTCAAGCATTTTGGATAAAGGATACTCAACGTGTAGTAACTAAAACATATGTTGGTAGCCAGGTAGGATGTGAGACTGTACAATAGTGCTAAGCTTTGTTTCTTTTGTTTTGTACAGCTCTAATTCAGTAACCAAAATTTATGTCTTTCTTCTAAAGGACTACAATAAAAGTATCTCACGAACAGAGATGATAATACGTTTTGCTTTCCAAGCCTCTATCACAGTTCTGTGTATTGCATGTCCCTGTTCACTGTGTTTAGCCACTCCAACTGCTGTGATGGTGGGTACAGGAGTAGGTGCTCAAAATGGCATACTAATCAAAGGTGGAGAGCCCTTGGAGATGGCTCATAAGGTAAGATGGTTCCCCCATTAAGAATTATCTCATCTAGGGAACCAGCAGTTAGCGTAATGGCTATGTTGCTGGACTCCCACGTAGTCAACCGCGGTTCGCATCCCGGACCCGGTGGCTTGAAACTCACACCGGGCACATGTGCGTGTGTACCCAAGATCCCAAGAGGAGAATGGAGGAGAAGGGATTGCGGCGTGACCATCCCACCTGGGGGGTGATTTCTCACTTTCTGTCTCTCTGTCTCTCTCTGTCTGTCTGGCGAGCGCACGCGCCCTATAGTGAAAACCTCTCCAAAAAAAAAAAATTATCTCATCTAAACTTGTAATAGCACATCTATTGAGAAACAGTCCTAAATTATTTCCATGTGATCCATAAGCTTGAGCTTCCTCTGGTACTATCCTGAAGGTTGATGTAGGAAAGGTGTTATTTTGGTTCTAGTCCAAGTTGGTTTTAGTCATTTAAGATCTTTAAAACTACTCCAGGCCTACTCTCTTGGAGCAGACCCTGATATATAAAACCTGAAGTTCTATCCTAGCTCAGGCTAGACCAGTCTTTAGAGCACGAAGATAGAATAAGCATTGCCCAGGAAAATCTGCCAAAATCTACCAGGCTTCTAACCTATTCATGTGTGACTTCATGTTTGCAGTCTTCAACAGGAGCTAGTGTATGTGATTACAGTGTGGTTTCTTTCACTTTGCTGCATCAGCTGATAGTTTGCATCTGATTCAGGAATAAAATCGTATACCTGATCTCTCTCACATTAGGATTTCTTTAACATTCTAAATTAAGGCACCTCGACTTCAACTAAAACTGTGTTTCAGCTATCAATAGTATGTTCTAAGGTGGATATAAACTGTATACAGATCCATACAATATAGCTTAGAACAAGTTTGGGGGACCAGCAGATGGTGTAATGGTTGTGTCACTGGACTCCCATTGTAATCGACCATGGTTTCAGTCATGGACCCGGCGGCTTGAAACTCACGCTGGGTGTGTATACATGCATACCCAAAATCCCAAGAAGGGAATGGAGGAGAAAGGATTGCAGCGTGGCCATCCCCCTGGAGGGCGATTTCTTGTTTTCTTTCTCTCTGTCTGTCTCTCCAGCGAGTACACATGGCCTATAGGAAAAAATATCTTTAAAAAAAAATCAGGTTTGGGACCAGCAGTTAGCATAATGGCTATGTTGCTGAACTCCCATTTAGTTGACCGCGGTTCAAGTCCTGGACCTGGTGGCTTAAACTCATGCTGGGTGCATGTGCATGCGTGCCCAAGACCCTGAGGCAAGTGGAGGAGAAGGGACTGACTGTAGTGTGGCCATCCCCCCCACGGGGGTTGATTTCTCACTTTCTGTCTCTCTGTCTCTCACTGTCTTTCTGGCGAGTGCACACGCCCTGTAGCAAAAACCTCTCAAAAAAAAAAAATCAGGTTTGGTACCTAATCTCGCCAGTGAATACAGGCTAGTAAATTTTATAGAAATTTTTTATTTTGATATAATTTCAAACTTAAAGTTGCAGGACTAATATAGAGAACTCCTGTATACCCTATACTGTTGTACTACAGCTGCTGGGCTCCTTTCCTAATAACAAAGACATTCTCTTACATAACCACACTAAAATGATCAAAATCAAGAAATTAATATTGATGTAACATTGTTACCTAATCTATAGTCCATGTTACAGTTTCCTCTGTTTTCTCAAAAATGTCCTTTATAGCTGTTTTTCTCTTTTCTAGAGTCATCTTTCATCTTGGTTTTTGGGCTTTTAATTTTTTAAGGTTCTTACTCCCAGTTTAATGTGAGATGACTATGTTCTATAACTTCAGACTCTTCCTTTTTTCCCATCTGGGTTGAGTTTCCCACATTGGTTCCCTGAGCCGTCCCTTTTCAGCCAATCTTCTCACGTGGGTACCGTAAACGTAAAGCCATAGCAACTCAGCAGGTCTTGTCTTCTATACTTAACTTCTGTAATCATCTGCTTAATGCCCAGATTTCTGAAGGGATTTATAATTCATTAGTATTGAAAATATTTCTGTTTTCCCTGAAGGCACTAAAGATATCTCTTAATTACCTACTAATAGTCAACTTTAGTAATTAGCTCTAGTTTTCCAACATATACTCACAGTAATTTAGCACGATTAAATAATTGGACATTTGCAGAGGAGAGCTAATAGGTAAAACTGAAAGTATTTCTTCTCCTTTTCTCCCTTTTTGTTCTCCAAAAGACAGTCTGTTTATGAAGTCAAATTAAGTCAAAGGTCAGCTTTTATAAGAAACAAAGTAATATTTAACAGATGTTAAATAGGAAAGAACAGAAAGTTATTTTGTATGATATCTTTGACTTGGTTGACAGGCAGTGCATTTGTGCTTTGAGAACCTAGAATGTAAGCATACTATAAAGATGTACAGTGATGAAATGTAAAAATATAATCTGTCAAAGTAAACCTTTTTCTCATTTTTGGAAAGATGATATTCAGTATTATCAAGTAATATAAGTGCATTTTTAAAAAAATTTTTTTACAGGTAAAGGTAGTGGTATTTGATAAGACTGGAACCATTACCCATGGAACCCCAGTAGTGAATCAAGTGAAGGTTCTAGTGGAAAGTAACAGAATATCACGTAATAAGATCCTGGCCATTGTGGGAACTGCTGAAAGTAACAGTGAACACCCTCTAGGAGCAGCTATAACCAAGTACTGCAAGCAGGTATAACTTTTCCCCCTTCTTTATGAATGTAGTCATCTTTTGTAAGAATTATCCAGACCAAATCCAAACTGGCATTTGACTCAGATATATATATATATAGTTAGTATCAGGCTAAAGATACTTAATATTTTCTCATTTAATTTTAAGTCTTGGTTTTGGCATATAGACAAATATTTAGATGAAAGTAGAAATGAACTCTCATTCTGCCACACAGATAAGCCCTGTTGACATGAAAATTAAAACAGAAGTAATATATATTTATGGTAGGGAAATTCAGACAGAACTACATAATAAGTTAGAACTTCATTTCCTGTCTCTTTCCTTAGTTCTTCTCTCCATAAATTTTAATGACTTGATTGAGATATTTTCATACACTGTAAAATTCACCCTTTTATAGTGTGTAATTCAAGGGATAGTGTAATGGTTACATCACTGGACTCCCACATAGTCAATCACAGTTCGAGTCCTAGACCCAGCGGCTTAAAACTCACGCTGGGCGTGTATACATGCATACCCAAAATCCCAAGAGGAGAATGGAGGAGAAGGGATTACAATGTGGCCACCCCCACGGGGAGGGGATGATTTCTTGGTTTCTGTTTCTCTGTCCCTCCAGCGAGTGTATGCACCCCATAGCAAAAATCTCTTTTTTTAAAAAAAAAAGTATACAGGGACCAGCAGGTGGCGTAATGGCTATGTCACTGGACTCCCATGTAGTC